CTAAAGACCAAAATGGAGTTAAATAGAAACATACCTATCACTTTCTCTTAATTTTTCCTATTTGATTTATAGAGTTCTTTGCTATAGTTTCTTGARCCTTAAATGTGTAATTATATTTTTTCTAATGATCTCTTGAAGTTTATTAACTAATTCCGTGTTTCTAGAAAGCTTTCCTATTTTTTTTAGATTTTTCAAATATTTTAGTGAATTTAATGAAATGTCTCCAAAATTTCTCCAAATTTACATAGTGAAATGTTCATCAGTATTGATATTACAAACCTTGCTGCCACATGTCACTTGGGGTTGATCACATGACAACTCCCCCACCCTTGGAATGGACCTTGTCCTCAAGGTCAGCATTCAGGAACTTCTGGTTGATAGCGTCCCAGTTTTCTCATGTGGTGTCAATCTCGACTGTGCCTTCCCATTGGATGAGCACCTATCACCACACTCTTTTGCTGATATTATCTATCCAGGATAGTTTGGGGTAAGTGTGTTGTCAGCTTGCAAGTGGCTGACATTGGGGCTTGCTCCCTCACCTGTTCCTTCCATCAAGAAACATGAGAAATTGGGTGGAGGGCAGCAACCTTCAGGTGAGGCAAGCCTATATGCAACCAGTCAAATTCTCTGTCACTTGGAATGCATCATAAAATCATTCAGACAACTTCTGTGATCTTCAAGCTGCAATGGTGCTCTGCTTGTAGGGTGGCAGCCAATGGTACACCCAATCACTCATTTCTTTCAATGGGTGGTAGATTGATTTTAATTAGACATGCATATGCTAGTATGACAATTCATCTTCCTGTTGTGATAGCTACTCCAAACTCCAAAAAATGTTCTGAGAAGGGTCGATACTATCTCGATCAACTTTTATTTGTTCTCTATTGATGTTAATACTAAACACCACTGGATGTCCTGGACGAATATCTGCTTTCCATATGAATGGCCTTGGAATGAGAAATATTTATGATATTTGTGATTGTTTCACGGTGATATCAATCTAGATTAGCTATTATAACCAATAGATGGGCAGTTGGTAGGGTCTCTGTCTCTTGTAGTGGAGACTTGGGATCAAATCCCACTGCCACCAAGATTGAGGGAGGGGGGTTATGAGTATGGGGATGCAATTAACCAAAAAATACCTAGATGGCTGTTACTGGTTCTTCTTTGTGGTCAACTATCTTCAAAGGTAAATTTCTAAAGGGAAAACGTCTTTCTATTCCCTTCAGTTAGTGGCTCATTTACTTGGAGGAAAAATCTTGACCTGTTGGATATTTTTATAAAGAATACTTTGGTTGGTTATTTATCAATAAAAAAATAGTTTTTGGTTGGTTGCCCGGGTGGCATCTCCTTTTGCCTAATATATTGGCTGAAATTCAACTAAGACTATCCTCTCTTCTTGTCCAGATATAATGATTCGGTGATTTGAGTATGGCAAATTCTCTATTAATGTGCATGACACTGTTTACATAACCGGAGGATATGCATGATCATTGGAAAATGGTGTGGAATTCCATCGTCCCCATTAGTATTTCTGTTGCTGTTTGGAGAATTTTGCAATTTTAAGTTACAGGTTGAAACTAAAATTCAAGTGCTGGGTAACCAACTGGCCTCAAAGTGTGTGCTGTAAATATCCTCACATTGAATCTATAGGTCATTTGTTTGTCAATGGAGTATTAGCTTCAAAGGTGTGGACTTTGTTTCTGCCAATTTTTTTATTTGTATTGTTCCAAATGAATAAATTTCACAAATATTTGTTAGATGGCAAGCCAAGGTTCAACCTGAAAATAAAAAGCAAGCCATGGCAAAACAAACTAGTTTTGGCCTTCTTTCTTTTGTTATTTCCTTGATTATTAGATGGTTAAATGAGTTCTATCCTTTTCTGTACTCGGATGGCGCTTTATCTAACCTTGAATAAGTCTCAGTTGAGTGCTGTTGGTGTGCATCGAATCAATAATAACAAACAACTAACTAGTTTGGTGGATTCAGCCTAAATGTCATCAACTGAGGTTTAGTGTAGATGAGGCTTCAAGGGATGATCTGGGTACAAGTGGTGGAAGTTACATTTTTAGAGATGCTTATAAGAGTACCATCTTTTGATTTTCTATGGTGTTGCTACTAATGTGGAGATTGAAACCGAAGTATTTCTGCATGGTTTGAAAGTTGCATTGGAGTTGGGGTTGAATGATATGGTGACTTGTTCCGACTTGAAGATGATTATGGTTTTATTAGTAGTCATTACTCATTAGACCCATCCCCCTTGGAGAATTTGGTATTTTCTGAAGGCCATCGACAAAATCATAGCTTCAATAGTGGATCTCGTTGCTAAACATTGCTTTTAACAATAAGAAAAGCTGTATTTATTATGGTTATGATTCTATTCTAATCATTTTTAGAAATGCTATTAGGATTGATACTTAATGTGGATGGGACTTCAAGGGGTAATCTGGATCTCTTTTCAGAGATGCTTATAAGAACATTATCTGCTGTTTCTCCTTTTTTATGGTGTTTCTACAAATGTGGAGGCCATGATCATAGTGCTGGATGGCTTGAAGATTGCATTGAAATTGGGGTTGAATAATGCGGTGGTTTGTTGACTCGAAGATGATTATGATTTTATTAATAGTCATTAAACTGGAGAATTTGGTATTTGCACCAGGCTATTGAGCAAAGGCAAATTGGGTAGCAGATCTCCTTGCTAACATTTATTGTAATAGTGAGCAAAATTATATCTATTATGATTATGGTTCTATTTCAGTCCGTGTTAGAAATGCTATTAGGAATGATTATTATTGTCTTCCCTTTCTTCATTCTAAATGCTTTTTATCGTATGCCATACATTTTTGTTGTACTTATTTATTAGATTACGGCCCTATTGTATAAGGCTCTATTTGGCATTCCTTATTTTAAGGACTTACCCATTTGTACTGTTAAAAAACTCTATTCATAGGGACATTTTAACTGCAAAAGGAAGAGGGAATTCAAATGACTAAAGATCAAAATGATTTATGGAAGTATAATAATGAGAAGAGGGAATTCAAATGGCTGGTGAGGAAGATGGTAGTTAAGACATGTTGGATTAARAGATCAGCTAATTCCCTAGCTGATGGTTTAACAAAACAAGGGGCAGAAAGGGATTCTTTGTTTTGGGCTAAGCTGTAACGTTAGTGTATTCGTATCTTTGTATTTTTTTTTTCATTTTTTGAAGTTCTTTGTGACTCTTGGAAGATAATTTCTTTATTGCAGACTAAGAGATTAACAGAATTTATGTTTGGGGTTTAAAAAAGCCGACTAACACATTTCTTGGAATAAATATTGATAAAATTACATTCCATCTAATGCAGTCCCAACCATATTCAGAACTAATTGGTAATTTAAGTCGATGCAATGGTGACTAATCTCTTTAATCAAGGGATATTTATATAACTCCTTTTTAGTATTAATTTGTAGAAATTATATAATAATTGCTACTATAATGATCTGAACCATGTCTCATGTGAAAATCAACTCATCACTACACTCTCTTGGATAAGCTTTATGAAAATTCTTTCATGCTTCAATGGGTAGCAAAAGACTGCTTAAGAGTATCGGACAAGTACGGACAGATCCAATGTAGATTTATGATTTCCATTGCAAACCTATAAACATTCAAAATGTCAAAAACCTCTATATCAATGCTTGCCTGTGAATTAGTATCAATTTCGAGCTGGACTGTACTTTGGGCTTATCGTTCTCCCTTATAAGTATGGTAACATGTATTTTTCAAAGCAAAAATCATTGAAAGCATGGAGCAGGAATTGGATCTTTGCGATGTGTCTATGGGGGAGGGGGTTGTTTGGTAAAAACTCTTCCGGTATCATATCTTTTCACTAGCATAGGTTTTCCCATATATACCCTAATGATGTGGCACTTTTATGCCACATTGCTAAAAATGTGCCATGCGACATTTTTATGTTGACCATGGTCATTTCTAACTATTTGTGGTCGATGTGGCATGATTAATTTGATGAGACGTGGCAACTTAAAAGAGGATTGCCCTTTAAAGACGTGTGGATTCACCACGTGGCAAGATGAGCAAGGTGCAAATTATAGTCTGACATATGGAATTTCTCATGTCACGTGGTAAAGCCATATGTCACAACCTAATGCTTATTTTCAAAGAAATACTAAACTGTAAAGTACAAGTTTTGAAGATTCCAAAATAGAACAAGTTTTGAATATTAACTTTAACCCAATTTGTGAAGTTTTAAAATTGATACTTTTTATTTAGTTTCAATGAATTTTATAATATTTTCCTAAGGTATATATATGCACACATTATCCCCTTTTCCATTTTCCAACATTTTCTTACTCTAACCGAGTAGTTCATACTTGATATCAACAATCAACCTATTATTGATGCATTTGTGGGATTTATGAGCTTCCCAATGTGATAATTTTGAACTTTGCTATTGACTAAAAAAGTATTAATTGTCTTATGTGGTTTAAAGTTGCAAAATTTATAGATGTGTTAAACTGTTTTTTGTTTGCATTTATAAATGTCTTTCATTGCCTTATTTGATCAAAACCCTTATGTAATTTACTTTTGAACCTACAAATAATGTTGGTTAGTCTCACTTTTCCTTCAACCAAATTCTTTTCAAAACGTACTTCCTAATCTTTTAGGATCCTCCTTTAATAAAAAATCCTTCTCTAATTTTCTACTCAAGTGATGTTGCGTGATCTGACTGTTCCCTACTGGAGGATGATCTGTCTTTTAGTCGGACAACGAGCTATGTAAATCTGCAAAATAAGATCAAAGAACCCGAGGTGGCTAGCCCGGCGAGGTCGCTCCGATGCTTAAGTTAGTAAGCTGTAGCAAGCTGAGATAGCTTTGAATATAGAGAGCTAGAGAGCTAGAGAACTAGAGAGTAGAGAAATCACGCATACCTCGTGCCATCGGGGTTAGAGTCTTTATATAGCCGAGTATTCGTGGGGCACACGAAAGAGTTTTGGGATATCCGGGATGTGGAGATGGAGTTCTCTCTGCTTCCGAAGGAACAACATACAAGTAAGGCTTATCTTGTTCCTCCTCCGATTCCGGCGGAGTGAGGATAATTGCTTATCGTGATCCCCGGAAAGGTCGGGGTCTGTTAACTTGTCGTGATCTCGAGGGATCCGGGGGTCGTTGGAGAGACCTCTGGAGTTGGTTGCGCGAGAGTTGGTTACGTGTTGATTCGGGTTGTTGGTTCTGAACTGGTACTTTAGCCTTTTAGTTTCGAACTGGCTTGAATACTGAGGTGCCTCGATGCCGAGGTGAGACCTGCATCGAGGTGATTGAATACGCAAGCTCCATTGTTGCGAATTGAACTTGCCAGTCTGAGTTGTCATCTCTTGGTCAGGTCGTGTCCACGTGTCCCCTTTTTACTAGGTCGGGCGAAATAACCCTTCATCAATTTCCCTCCACTCCCCGATCTAGGGGTCCCGACCCGGTACGGGGAGTTCATGACGAGTCCAGGTGGATTTGGCCCGAGGTCCAAGCGGTTTGTCGGGCGAATCGTTGGTCGGACCTATTCGGCCACCCAACTCAACTAGGAATAACCCAGGTTGTGTCTAGTCTACGCGTGGACGTCACGCGATCTATAAACTCCGCGGACGTCAAAACACACGCTAAACCGATTTCAACCTCGAGGGTCGTGCAACCGGTTTTCCTAGGAGCCGTTGGTTCACTTTGATCTCGACTGTTGATTCTCGGACACAACAGCTATAAATAGGGGGCCCGAGACTCATTTGCTTTGCCACAAATTCGCTAGCCTTCGATCTGAGGTCGCGTTCGAGTTCTTCAGTTCGGTGTTTTCCCGAGGTTGTCTTCTTTTAGTTCGGTCTTCTTTCGGTCTCTCTTTGGTGAGTCTTCCCTAGCTCTCCCTTTCGATTCTGTCTTTCCCATGTCTAGCTTTAGTTTTGACAATCTTTTAGATGGGAGCGGTGGATCTGCTAGGGTCGAGGTGGGTACCTCGGCTCAGGTCATAGATCGCCATACCGAAGAAGCTACTTCGGGTCAAGATGCGGTCTACGATCCTCTTGAGTTGGAATCACCCCGGGAGGCACGAGAGGCCTTAGGTCTGGCGTCCACCTCGCATCTAGGTGGCAGCCAGATAACTTCGACCCGTCGACAATGATGGCGGACAGGCTCTGTCCCTAGTAGCTCGGTATAGGCTTCCGAGCAACTTAGTTTATAGTATTCCCCTAGGTAACTTTCCTTGGGAGCACGGTCACGACGAGATCATGATCTTCGAGGAGCAGCTTGCATCTGGTCTTCGTCTTCCACTTCACCCCTTGATTGTCGAAGTCATAAAACTTTTCAACATTACCATAGATCAGCTGCACCCGAACTCCATTTGTAATGTAGTAGGAACCATCTCCCTCTTCCACGACTATAACCTTCCTCTTGACATTGATATCTTTTCTTCCATTCTCTCAGTAAAGAAGAACTCCTCCTATGTTCTGCCCGAACACAAGCGAACTTACTATCTATCCCCTCGTCTGGGCTACAAACTCTTGCACGAGCTCCCAAACAAGGTTCCGCCCTGGAAAAGGCATTACTTCGTGGTCTGTAACACTGAGGGGTGGTCTTTCCCGGCCCACTGGAGGGCGGCCATCCAAGATCTCGTTGTCCGGCTGGACCTGAAGACAAGGGAAGCGCTCCAATCTTGGGCGAAGCTCGGTCTCAAGTTCGTGGACTACGTGACCGAAGACAAGTTCGTGCAAGCCGGTCTAAGTCCTGGTAGGTCGTCACTTGTTGTGTTGCCATTATTTTATTTCGGTGCCATTTTTGATCGTTTGCCTTTGTTGCTGCTACCAT